CAATATCTGATATACTAGAACTGAAAAGGTCCAACATTTTAAATTAAGAAACTACAAGTAAAAGTTTTAGCAAAAAATCTTATGAGGGGAAGAGGATAGTACCAGAACAATTACTCTTTTTAATTGAGGAATTCTAGGTCAATTTTCAGACTTAAAACATAGCATTCTGATAGCAAGTGGAATAGCATTCTGATCTTGGTTTGGAAATCTGCACGTGAACATTTAGCACAAGTACATTAAAACTGAACAATGTTGGTATAATTTAGTGCTACAGTTTTGCAATGTGTGAATGGTCATATTTGGTTGTAATTCATAGCCATTACACATTGGTAAGATACTTACTGGCTGCTGCAGATCACTCCTTGTTACTGCCAATATCTGGAAATACATTTTTTCACTAAGTATGTCTGCAGTGCTAAGCACCATTACAGGAAAGCAAGCACTCTGGAACATAGTGGAATTTAGTTGTTGGGAAAAGAAGGGATGAAAAAGCCTTTTATTCTTTTTTGTTCTGAATCAGATCCACAAGTTCAAAAGTCTCCAGGTAGCTGTTGTAGCTACTGGCTCTACCAACTGCCACAGGCACCAGTGACTGGAGAGACCCCATCCTACCCTCTCCTTGCTCTACGTTCCAGACAAGGAGCTGCTGCTTGCTCATCTACACACTGGCAGCACCTTGATTTTTCTGGCAGGGAAGGATAAAGGTGACTTCTAGCTGCTTTCATTTGCTTCTCCACCTAATCTTAGTTGTTCTTATCTGCAGCTGAGAAAAGTAAGAGGGGGAAGATCAGCCAGTATAACAAATTACCTTTGTACATCAGATTATACTGGAGGCATACAAGTAGCTATACTCAGTGGAAACTCAGAGGATCTCCCTGGAAGACTGTCAGAACCTGAGCTTCACTATATTTCAAAAGCAATGCAAAACTTAATTTTTGTTTAGGTATCTTTTTGCAGGCAATGATAATGGGAAAAAAAGGAATTTGGTGTCTTTATTTTTAGTTCACTGTATATTGCTTTATTGGAATATGTTACTGTTCCATTTTCATTGCTTTTAGACATTAAAGTGCCACTTGAAAGTCCATTAAAGCAAACAATTGTAATGGATCAGAATGAAGCAACTAAGTTGAAAGGCAGAGTAAAAGTTTGTATGTGGGAGGCAGGGGGAGTTTCAAAAGGAAATTCTCTTCTCATTTAGAAAAACTAGCAATACATCAGATCAATTCCACCAAAGTTTTAGATTAACTTTAGCTCACTTCAACCATGTAATTTTCAGTGGTGGTGGAATTACATATACAACCAAAATTTCCCGCACCTTGTATTTGGTAACATGTACTGGGCCTAGATGCAAAATCCATGAAAATTCCTCTCAAGTGCTCGTCATGGTGGATGTTCTGCCTTTGGCAACGGTCCACTGGTGCCATAACTTTTGAGAGGTAGAAGAGAGGGGATAATAAACAATGAGCAGAATACAAAGGACACATTTTTCTCAAGGCAACATTGGAAATGACTTTATGTTGCATATTCTTCAGATTAGATGTGAAAATCGTATTGTGAGTGCATTCCCACATACCACTAATCTAATATTTGTTTTAACCATGAATTGCTTAACAACCTAGAGTCGACTTAACTAAGAAATCATGGCTTGTTGGACAATTCCTGCCCTGTTTTCCTTCCATCTCTTCTGTCACATGGTATTGCAAATGCCTTAGCAGCAGCAAAAGTGTTTCTAGGTTGGTGTTTTTTTTTCCTGTGCATATATATTTTCCCTGTGTATTATTGGCCTGTAGTTTGTCTGTTGTTGTCTGTTGGTTTTATAGAGGCAAATATGTGGTTTGGCATTTGTAGGGCAGATCTCACTTCTCCCTTGGGCTCAGGGTTCCTGGGCAACTAAACTGTCTTTTGGTCTCAACAATTTGCTGATCTGTAAAGCGGATGTTCTATTGGAGCAGAAAACCATAATGTCATGTTTTGCCTTTCTGTGAAACAGTGTTTTTATTTCAAAGTAGTAAATTCTCTGTTCAGCCATACTGCCAACACAGTATTGTGTGATTTGCAACACAAAGTACCAATCCCCAACAGCCATTTTGTGATGGAAACTACGTCACTTTTTAAAAATAATGAATTTGTCTGCAAACTCAAAAAGGTGGGCAGCTCCTGATCTGCCCGATATTCATTATTCACTTATAGACTTAACAAGCAACACAGAACCAGTGAAAAAAGTCAGTAACTGGATTAGAATTTTGTGCAAGAGTCAGTGTATCCTGCTTAGACTGACACTGTGCTTTTAATATGCAATCCCTGATGAATATTACAAATGCTCATAGAAGGCTATGAAAATAGAAACAAACAAAATGTAAGTGCTTTGGTATAGGCAGAGCTTTAGCAGAGGACCTGGTATGGAAGACAATGAGGAGGAATAAAGAATTTGAGGAGAAAACAACTCCTTACCTTGAAGCTCTGCAGAATACAGAGAGGCTTGGAGAGGACACATTAAAAAAGCAGGAATAGTCCAAGATTCTGGGTTCTGACTTAGCAACAAACCATAGTTATAGGAAGCCAAGATTTGTAAGCCAATTTAAAATTATAGCTTCTAATTGGAGTTTGTTGCCAAAGGTTTAACCATAGTTTGTTGTGTGGCTGGCATGAGTCAGACATTCAAAAAAACTACAATCACATTAAACAAATCCTGGCTTAGTGTTATCTGTGAACCAGGATTATATTCTGGTCTACCTTTTTTGTGACATCCCTAAAACCAATTTTATAGCTGAACTTATCTAGTAGGCATTAATTGCTATAAACAAGACAGACCTAGTCTTGTCCTGATTCAACCACTGCTTTTCCAGAAGTAAGTTTAGGGTAACCTAGCAGGAAATACCTTCTGAATCTAATGTCTGTTAATTAAAGTTTCCTTATATTGGTTATTCCAGTTTCCTTCTAAGCCTTCATCTAGTTAATTTTCTCTGTAAATTTAACTCTTCCAAGATTATAGCATATTACTTCATACATCACAAGCACTGAGTCATAGAGATGACCTCTCTTTCAAGGAAGAAGATTTTGTATAAATACTTTTGATTCAGTAATTTTGTTACAGTCAAAAATCTCTTGAGCTCCTTTTAAAATAATACTTTTGCTTCTCTGGTTTTTTCTCTTCTGCTTGGAGTCATTGTACATTTCCATACCTCTGATCTTAGAACTGAATTTGCACAAACAGGCATGGATGACCATAAGCCATATTTGGAAAAGAATGACAGTTCTAAATGTTTATAAGCAAGGCAAAGACCTTCCCATGACGACTGGGTTCAGATGCTATTTTCTTAACAAAATGGGACATGGAACAATTCTGTGTATGACTCTTTCCTAAATACCAGTATATGTTTATATTATGGTTCTAAACCAGGGGTGAGCAAAATGTGTATTTCCAGATATCTGGGACTTCAACTTACAGAAGTGCCACCAGCATGGCCAATGGGCAGGAACACTGGGATATGAACCTCAAAACATCTGGAGATCTACTTTCTACTTACCCTTGTATTAGCATATTCCTGTTGATACTACGTTAAAACAAGCCCACATGCAATAACTGTACTAGCTAGTGTACAAAGGGAGATTTTAAGTGCCTCTTATCACACACTAACCTGTGGTCTTTACATTTTATTTAATTAATTTCTATATCACCCAATAACTGAAGCTCTCTGGGTGCTGAGCTCTCCATGGTATTTCTCCTTTCATTGACTATTTTAACAATCTCAGTATGCTACACACAGGAACATGAAGGCACACCAGTGCTAAAACCAGGTTGAAATTTCATGTCCTTTTCCTCTGTCCAACCAATCAAACACAGCTAGGCACAATTAAACTCCAAAATTAATGAATTATGCACATTGTGTCAGACAACACCCGGAATGTTTGCTTTTCCTTCTATCTTTTCCTAAGGTTTTCACATTGTTCAAAAACTTAGAAGGTTTTGCATGTTTAATCTCAAAGCTCAAGTCTCACTGCAATTCCCCTTATGTTATCAACTTGGAGGAAAAAAAGTGTAATTTGGACATGGTGAGCATGGACAGCACGTCCACACCTGGAAATATGCATCTGCCTGTTCGAAGATACATCAAAATATATGTTGTACAACCAAGTCATCACAGCCATTTCACATGACTTTTCTTTCATTTCGCCAATTTAATACTTAATCAAATGATTTCAAATGAAGCATTGAACCAAATTTAACCACTGAATCAAACTCAGTGGATAAAACATAGTGTCAGCTCTAGTTAACATGGGCCTATGTTCAGATAATTGCTTGAGTTTCACATACCATATTTTACGAAGCTGTGAAGAAGTGTTGGGACTAAGCATTCTGACCCCAGTTCCTCTTGCTGTGTTCAGAATTCGATGCATAATCTTGCTTTGTATTAAGCTAGAGTTTCTATTATGTGTCAACATGTTCGAAGTGTTGTAAACTACCCAGGGAGCTTTGGCTATTGGGCTTACGCGGGGGGAGGGGAACTATTAAGAAATCAGAAAAATAGACCACAGTTGCAACCTGGCTTAATTTCATGGTTTGTTATCCAACATTAAACCAGAGTTCCTTAGTTCAAGCATAACAGGGAATCTTCAGACCAAGTTCTGTGTACAACACAACACAGGGAGGGCCAAGGCAGGACATGGGCTCTGTCATTTGTTCATAGACTCATAAAAACATGGTTTATGAAACCCTGATCCATCACCCAGATTGAGCCAGGGAGAAATGTGACCCACTGAGTATTTTGTTATTAGAAGGTGGCATAAATAGAGGTGCTTTGGATGAAATCATCCAACCACATACTCCAGAATACCTTCAGAGAATATAGTGGGACTCGTCTGGAGCAGCCTGATAATGCTCATTTATAAAAGACATAAGAATGTGCCCAAATTAAAATTGCATGTGCAATTGCAAGAGGATTACCTCTATACTCAGAAAATAATTTTGCACTACATGCACCCAAGGAAAAAATGTTTACCTGGGATGGCCACGGTTAACCTTTTTTCCTTGCTGAGACGGTGCCCATGGAAGAATTCATTCATGGAGGGGGGGCCCCTCAGAAGAACTGATTCTGTGGATGGGTGATCAGGGGGGGTTCTTAATAAAGGCAGTAGGTAGGTCCCTGAAGTCCTGGGATGGCTCTGATCACAAGGGGAAGGTGAGAATAGTCTTGCAGGAGATCCAAGAAAAAATACATACGGAAACAAAAGAGTTTTTACTTTAATTACCAAGCAATGGCTCCTTGAATGACAATACCATATTAGTTTTTTCCTCTTCCCACCCACAATCCACCCCCAAAAATCCAACATATTGCCACCAACCCTCTGGAGGAAGTATTTTTAATGCAGGAAAGCCTTGTTTGTATATTCTACAAAGAGATGAGACAAGCTGCTGTGTAGGACTAATCAAGCTGAGCACAGATCATCTGCCATATACAGTACCCCACTAGGGCTTTCATAACATTTTTTTTTTTTGTTACCGACTTGGGACTGATATGTTTTTTGCTGCCTGCATGGGACTGGCACAGGTACTGGCAAGACATAATGCATGGCTGTGTGTGGTCACAGACCGAGCAGGTCTAAGATAAGCCCTGTTTCCCCCTTTTCCCTTGACTCCCATCAAGTCTCAGTCTTTTAAAATAATCATTTAGTATTTAGGCTCTGTGCGTATTTTATCACTGGCAGTATTTACATTTCTCATCTATGCTGAAAAGGCAGTACACAGATAGTGAATGTTTGCCCCAAAGTTCTTCAAAAAGGGAAATCTTGTTTAAATATTTATTGGATAGCATTCTCCGAAATGGGACAGGGCATTTGCCCACCTTCTTCTCTCTGGCCTCCATCCTCCTTATTCACAGGGCAGCCACAGAACCATATTAGATGCTGCAAAGGACTAGTATTTTCCTCTGGGTTTTGAATATATATCATTCACTTTTGAACATTTTACTTTGTTTTAACACAGGCATCGAAAAGCACATCAGAGCAAACACATTCCTAGTCACATTTCAATACTGAAAAGAATCGGGTTTATCAGCACCATCACTTATAAGAGAAATCCGTTCCGTTTGGGAGTGGATGTGGTTCTTGGATACAAGCTTCCCCCTCCCCTACTATCCAAACCAGAGGTATAATTTGCTGTATGTAAAACAGATACATTCAAGACATACAAGATATGTTGAAACGCTGACAGTATGACCATACTAAAAGGACAGAAAAATATTACGGGCAGTGGAATCAATAGCCAAGGTTTACATTTTGCAACGCCACTACTTTTATCCTCCCCATCCCCAGCCTCTTATTATTCCCAACCAAATAAATAATAATTTATTTGCAATTCAGTGGATGACCTTAATTCAAGTCAGGCCACTGCACTGTACTATAAAGACGTCTGCATGCATACCTTTTCCTCTGAGTGCCACTGCTGACCAGTGTGTTTGGTTGCTGTGGACCCTGACTATGCAGGAGGAAAGTGTCTATGGTTGGCACGGTGGCTGATGCCTCCTCACTTACTTTAGGGCTGCCGATCTTGCTCTTTCCAAGTTTGCCTTTGCTCCGCCGGGACTGCTCGTGATCAAACTCTAAGTCTTCCAGGCGTTGGGTGAGGGCGAGTTTTTGCTGGATAGCCATCCGCAGCAAAGAATTTAGTGTCTTCTTCTCATCCTCTGCAGCTGCCAATTGCCTCTGCATCTCATCCAACTGTGTGACGTATTCATCACACCTGGGAAAAGGAAAGAGGAACCTGAAGAGGATGCATGTGCGTTTGTAGTCTTCTGGCCAGTAACCTTTTTCCTCTAAACAATCCTGAATGTCCCACATCAGACTGCACTAGCTACAGCTGGAGAAAGTGGCCCTTAGAACAATTAGAAACAATATTAATAGGACAGCAGTTGCTACCAGTGCAGTCTGGATCAATATAACATAGTTCCATGGGAGAGAGAAAAAAAGCAGTCAATTTGCCTGAGTGAATTGACCATGGACATAGCCTGAATTGTTCTCAGAGAAAGGAAAACCAATGGAAACAAAAGCAAGAGGGACTGTTCCTGCCGTTAAGGAAAATGAGGCAGCCACTTTGGCCAGATGGAGGAGGTGGCGGCAGGGTGCTGGAGGAAAAAGCTGTGCACCGTGAGGCTCGTTCTGTGTCTCCCTAAGCTGGGCTGCTGCTTTCGAGTGCAATGGAGGAGACTGTCCCATCCACAGCACTGAAGTAAGATTTCACTGCCACTCCAGCTAGTTTTTATGCATGGAACAGTGGGGGTGCCATCTTATTCTTCATTTCAGGTAGGAAAACACATTGGGCCAGCCCTGGATTTTGGACCACTAACCCACAATGGCTAGCCAACCAGGATATTTCAACTGACTTCCTGGTGCTCTCTCGTCACCAGATGTGACCTGTGGGAAAGAACCCTTGATGAGAACATTCACTAACGGATATTGTTAAGGGAAGTGGCACAATGAAATGAGGACAAGAGACTATGCGTAACTCCATTACTGTTTAAAACTTAAAACACTGATATACTCTCCTGGCTTGAATTAGGGCCAGAGGCCCCTTGGGGGCTTCCTGGTAAACTAAAGATGAACCCTATCTAGATGGATCACAGCTGAACCAAATGGTAACATAGATACGTTTTAGCTGTTTTAAGCATGGAAGTGATCATTAGGGCATGACTGCAAGGAAGAAGACCACTGGTGTATGACCAAGAAAAGAAGAATTAAGGCAGGATGAAAGGAATACAACTAGAGGCCTTTGATGAGAAGGGTGGGAGCCATATTGTTGAAGAAAGTTATAAAAGACCTGAAAATGGTTTGTTCAGGGAATGCAATTTGAGTTTTCCTGAATTACTCTGTGCTCTACTTTGTTCACTGTAAACTTAACTAAAGCTTACCAAAAACCACGTCTCATCTCTAGACTCTTAAGATGGGCTATTGAGTCTGGGGTCCTCAGTGCATGGAAGCAAATTGCGCAACAACCCTTCATCACAGTAGATTTCCAAGTGATATACAAGGCAGATCACTACTGCTTGTTCCTGCTTTTTCATGCAACATGTTTCACTTCCTCAGCTTCCCGTCTCTTGCTTGCATTGAAACTTCGACTTGTGCTGCTACTCCTTCTGATCTGCTTCTAAGCAGCTGACTTGCTTAAAGCAAGCAAGGGCTCGATCCAACATGCTCTTAGGCCACTCTGCTGCACCTTCGTCCCATGCATTTACCCTAGATGGCCATCTAGATTTAGTACCAAGGAGGAAAGGAGGCGGGTGTGGTTGACCTTAGGTCTAAGACTCCTGCTCTCCCTTTCCATCCTCTCTAAGCCCTGTTTGCCTCCTCCGAGAGGCAGCTGTTTCCTCCGGTTGGCTGCAAAAACTATGAGGTGGGGATTCACTCTGCAGAGTCCCAGCTCCATGGCTGCAGGACTGTGCAGCTGGGGCTCTGGAAGAAACCCTCTGCCCCCTCCCTGCAACCACAGCAGGAGGCTATACAGGACTGTGCTCTAAGTTAATGTAATAAAGGACTTAAAAATGGAACTGATCCAATGAAGTTTTAAGTGGAAATCATTTTAAGAGATCTAAAACATTATGTCACTACATTAGTCACTGAGTGGAGGGAAGCATATTTAATTATACTGAAAGCACAGCCTGTTTGCTTACAGGAAGTCTCATTACAGTTAAACCGAGCATTCAGGAAGTCACATTGTTCTGCACTTAAGTGGACTGTGATGCCCTTGCTCATTAGCAGAGCGAACTCTTTTCTTCACAACTGTCTAAATGTGTTAAGATAATTTGCTGAAAATGTCCTCAAATAAACCAGATAGAGATAATAATAAGAACCCAGTCTGTACAAACATATAGAATCATTATGGAAAGCTAATAGCTTTTGGAATATAGTACCCAATGTTATTAATGAAATGTTTCCTCTGCAAATTAATCTAGATGCACTGTTATTTATTTTCCAACTATGTTAAAAGTAATAATTTAAAAGTAAAAAATATCTATACATTAAGTACTCCATGGACTGCATATGCAAATGACTGGATATCACCAATGAAACAGGAAAGAAAAAAATATAACAAAAAATTTGACAAGTTGCTTAATTTCATGAAGTTATCTGACTACCAGAAATCTGGAAATAAAAGCAAGGCAATTTTAGAGGACTGTAGTCCTATGATTGATATACTTAAAATTTTTTCAATCACACCTATCACTTTTCTGCTTTAAAATTCATTTAAAGTATAATTCAAGCGCATCTTTATCTCTGCTTCATAAGCTAGTGTTCTCCTGTTTATGATTACACACTACCTTGCACTGCCAGTTTTTGTTTACTTAATTTCTGTGCCACAATAAAATCATTTTGCACTTTCATTGTCTTGAGTATCTTTTACACATCTATGGAAACAATGCCAATTAAATCCATTACAATACCAGGTTGTAAAACAACACATATGGAAAAGTTAAGCAGGTGTGTATGAATATTTCTGCAAGGACCTGTATAGCTGAATGTTGTATCTTCTCCTTTCCTTAAAAGTAATTAAAACACATTATTAAAAAAAAACAAAACCCGTATGTTGAAAAAAGGAGTTGTGATTGTGACATACCCGGAGCTCCACCCATTAATACTCTGAACCAAATGTAGAGATATTTAATTTGCAGCCCATGAATGGGCACACCTTAATGTAAAAGAAAGCCCCCACCCCCAATCACATGGCCTACACTGCCAAATTTTGGTAGCAAATTTGCCAGTGCACTGTCAGCAGGACAAAATTAGCTGAAGGCTGGGTTTTGGCCCACCATCTTGCTTTAGAAGCATTGGTTCTTCCCATGAAGGGTTTAATACAATCTGTACCATGAAGGGTGTAATACAGAATGTAGACAGGTAGGCAGGCCTGGATTCAGATATTTTTCTTTCCCTATTTAGCCTCTAAATAGGCATGCCAGCCATAAAAGCCACTCTTTAAAGGCCCTGTTTATACCCACAGGTGATGGCAAAGCTGGTGATGACTAAATAACCAGTGGTGTGAGAGAAGGAAAATTACTGTTACTAAGCAGAAGAATGATGGATTGCTAAAGACCAGAGCAAAAGACCCTTATAAGGCCAAAGGCCAGAGTAAGGAGCTGTATAAAGAGATTTGTAAATAGGAAGTAGAAGAAAATAGGCAGGTTTAAATTGGTTGCCGATGTAAACAAATAAAGCTGAGCTAACAGTATATGGTATGGCTGAATTTGAACACAAGGGAAATGGTAGAAGAGTTCTTCTTACATCGACATTCTGAAGAACACAAGAGGGGTGGAGAGCATTGATTAAACCGTTACTTTTGCGGAAGATAGTAGGTAATTGATTGTCTTTTACAGCTGGTCATTCTGTGGAAGGGAGAAGGAGATAATGAGCTTGGAAGAAGGGTTATTCTTCCTATCTCATCCTCCCAGAAGTTTTAGGAGATAAGTGGTCACCAGGCAAGACCATTACAAGGTCAAGACGACCTATTGAACTTATAGTAAGTAGTGTGCATGCTTAATAGGTTTATGAATAATAACTGACACACCTCTCATAGGTAATGGGCTTATAAGTATGAACATGGGATGTATAAGCGGGAGGGGGAACATATCAAGGAGTAGTATGATGTAGGCGGACGGAGAAGATTGTGACCTCTTAGTAACTAAGCCAATGGAAGAAAAGAGGCAGGGTCTGCGAGCCGGGAAAAGGGAATAAAAGGCAATGTCTTCTGTCAAAATGGCACACTAGCCGTGAGGTAGACACCCACTCTTGCAAGAATGTATTGAACTATTACTGCCTGTTACTTTGCCGCTTTGAATGAACAGAGTACATTCTTTGCAAGAAAAAGGCTCCAAGCTTCATTTACAGCATACAGACCCATCTAGCTCCAGACACGTTGGAAGGGGACAGAGTGCTGCCTCCAAACCGTTACAGTGTGGGGCTGTTTTCAGTACCTGGTTGCAAACATGGCTCTCAAGGATGAGAAGGTTGCTGCATCTTCTTTCAAAGCTTTTAACTCATTGCGCAGTTTAGTCATGGTTTCTGTCACCATGGACTTCTCATTCTCATACTTATTCTTCAGATTAGCCAGGGCCACTTCTGCTGTCTGAAACAAAGACACAGGCATTATCTCTCTCTGTGCGTGTATTTGCAAGGACCATGCTACATGTTATTCTGTTTTTATTGTAAGCTGTCCCAAGACTGTAGTAGTTAGATGGTACATAAAAACTTTAAATAAGACAACAATCTACCAAGTTTCACTCAGCAAAAGTAAGATTTTACCCTATGCCATATACTCACACCTTTATAGTGTGTTGCTGGTGCAAGCTTATTTTGTACCTCAAACATTTGAGGGAATAGTTTCTGTGACTAGAGCCAGGTGAAAGTAGTTTGCGAAAGACAAAATTCCCATGCCTATGCATCTTTTATCTCACTGCTGGCTCCAGTCTGCAGGTTTTACTGATTTCTGTAACAATACAAAAGTCTGAAAACCCTTTTATACTTGCAGCAACAGTGAGATGTGTGTAAATGTGACACTCTTTCAAACTCCCTTTAACTCTCTGGAAAAAGAGCTGGAAAAAGAGCTCACTGCCTGCCTTTAGCCTTGCTTCTTTAGAAGAGAAGTTCTAACTTGTTTATATGTTTAAGGGTGGGATTTCGGTTCCACCCCCTCAGAGTATGGAGCATAAAATAAAGATGGCAAAGCAGCTTTTAAACTGAATTCTGGGGGAAAGTTAGGAAGCCATCGACTTTGGGTTACATCATACAGAAGGAATGAAGATGGGAAAATGTCTTACTGCCCAAATGCAGGAGAGAAGACAATAAGCCACAGCATATGGTAAGATAAGATGACCAATCAGGGATGCCCAAGTGCCAAAAAAAGAAGTTGCACACATCTGAAGAGGGACACCGTGTTTAGGTGTTTCTATGTGTACGCCAACACCTCTGAGCCAAAACGGGGGAGCTGGAGTGCCCAATTTTAAAGGAGAAGCCAGTCTCGATGTATACCAGTATCTGAGGCAGTTTGCCTATACACACCAGCCACTAAAGCATTTGGAGAGGAGAGGGGCTGTTTACTCAGATCCTGCTTGGGAGATCCTGTAGCCAGCTGATTTGCCACAGTGTGAATGAAATGCTGGACTACATGGACCATTGGTCTGATTCAGCAAGGCTTAAGAAAAACTTGTTCTTAAGTTTTTAAGTTACTTTTTCCTTTTTAGTTCAATGAGACCAAACTTGTGGTATTTAATTATGTGCATGATATTTGAATATTTCATAATAAAATGCAAAATTGCACACAGGTAAATGGTGATACACTCCCACAAAGTAAATTGCAGAACAAAGAGATATAAAACCACACAATAAAGGCAGTGTTTGAGCTTCTCTGCACATAGAGAGCTCAATGTTTTGGGAGGAGACCAGAAGAGAAACATACCATCAAGTGCCACTGGTTGAACTTTGCAAGAGAGATAAAGGGGCAGGCAGGAATATAATTAAACCAATACAATTCTTGATTATCCCTGTTCCCTCACTCAACTACTATCCGTTCTTCACATCACTTTCCAGTTCTTCATGCATTCGAAAGGGATTAACCTGCTGGTGTTCTATCAGTGTTAGCAAGAAAAACCCTCCCCTCCCTCAGCAATGATCAGAAATACAGAAAAGGTTAACTTATGCTAGCAAGGGACACCCTTCCCTTAACTCTGATCTCCCAACTTAACCCATTCCTGTGTGTTTGTCCGTGTATGTGTGTACTTGTGCATCAGCATGTGTACCACCTGATGCCCTCAGGGCTGATAAGGTTGTGCCCTCTGTTGTAAACAAAGAGTTGACAAGCAAAAATGCCAAGACAGGAAGTTTTAACCATAATGGAAGTGTTATTAAGGCATAAACAACAAGAACAAAATAAGGAGTCATCAAACCAGGCCAATTAGAAATGTGATCAGATGAAAATGAGTAATGCATTCCAGGTGAAGGGACATCTGCTTTCAGAAATACAGAATGTAAATTATATTGAGAAGACTGGTTTGCTTGTCACTTGTACTTGTTATATGTCACAGTACCCAAAATGTTTACTATAGCATGCTTTATGTTGTTATACATCCTGTTTAGCAGTCTTGCTTTTATACAGGTTTGATTTACATAGCGTCTTTTTATACATAAATAACTGGATAGCCCAGAAGGTGCCTAAAAAGTATAAAAAGACAGTCCAGCTGCTACTACTCTTCTTCACTTAAGTTTAGACTGGTGAAATGCCTTTAATATTATTACTTTGCTCTTGATAGTTATTTTGATCTATTCAGGCATCAGTCTTGGATTGTGTTATTCCCTGTCATTTTATTTTTCTCTTTTTACTTATACCAAATAAAGTCAGATTTGGATTCAAAGATTCATACCAATGTCTATTATCTCAGGGTAGGTCTCACATATCCTAATACAACATTTTACTGCAAAGAATTACAGAGTGGTTGATTATCACCTACATAAAGAACATCATACATTTTAGAAAATCCTTGAACAAATACAATTTACCACACATTGCAAAGCTACAAATCTGCTTTATAACCACCTGCTTGTATATCAGCATGAATTCCTGAAGTCAGTACACTCAATCAGTAATATATTCATGAAAGAGTTCTATGCAGATATATAATTTTTAGCAAAGAGAATTAAGCACAAAAATAGAGGAAAAACAATTATTTAATATTTGTTTAATCTAAGAACCACTTGTCTTCATAACATACCAGAAGGAGATCATCCTATTTCTTTTTGCAGTGATGGAGCTTTCATTGGAAGTTCCTCCTGCTGGCCACTAGATGGCATCCATGTGTCCTACATTAGGTGTTAGATTTTACTAACTAATCAATAGCACATGGCCCAAACCCTGTAAGTTTTCCCACTGAATCACAGAACTATAAATCTGGATGCAACCTCCAGTAATCTTCATTATGGTTAATTCATATATCTTTTCAGTGTTGCTTGTTTAAACACTCAACCCTCATTTTCCAATTGGAAATCAATATACAGTTCTGGCCCTGATGGAAAAAAATCTACTATGCTAACTAGTCCATGTTCTAAAATAAGAATATAATGTCCAAGAAATAGGTGTCACTGTACTGCAAAATATCTGCAAACCTATTAACCTCAGGACTTCTACAATTAAGAACATTCAAGTATGAGCAGGCTCATAAGCCATATAAATATTGAAACAGTCTTAGTATAAGAGTAATGCATATCTGATCCAAGCCGAATGGAAAAGTCATCACATACCACAAAATGTTTGTGTTAATGCATCCTAGCTCTGGAACTAAAAGAAAATGTAAAAAACATTAGAAGTGCTACTGCAGCAAAAGAATTAAAGGGGAAATAAGTCAAATCCATTCTAGTCTTGATCAAATTTTGACTGTGAACACATGACTTTGTTTTCCATAGTTTCTTCCAAAATTTAGGATAATCACTCTGAAGTTTATACAGTTCCTTGAAGTTACTGACTGCTGGACATAAAGGGTGAGTTCACAGAACATGACAAGGGTTGTGGGGGGTTACCATTGTTGGTCTGCTGTCTTATCTGAAACTCATTGTGGTATTTGTGTGGTACATTTGGTTTTTAGAAAGCATGAACAGAAACATCCATCCTTTCTATGATTTGTTGGTACCATGACTGCCTGCTGTGATATTCAAACTCAGAAAACACAACTCATTGTGGTACTCAGACAAGAACCAGAGAGCTGCTGGGCAAGAGTGGCCCATTACCACTCTTCCCAAGGAGCTAGTTAGAGATCACCTCTGAAAGCTGCTCTTTTGTGCAGCTGCCAGAGGTATCCCCACTCTGCCTTTCTCCTGCCCTAAATATCTCTGGAGCAGATGTGATGGTGCCTGACCAGCTGCCTCATTTTCTTGGCTGTGCTTCAAGGTATGAACTGCTTGTGCAACACAGACTGCTTGACGGCGGTGGCAAGTTCATGATCACGGCCATCAAAGAGAGGAACCTCATTCTTCCCCATGGTGACTTTTGGGGCACTGAAGGAGAAAGCTGGAAGAAGGAGAGCTGCCACCATTGCATGTCATAACATAGGAGTCCAGCCTATGAGTCTGCTCACACATCACATCCCAATATAAATCCTGCCATAGGCTAATACACCCTCACATGCTTTGCTCCTCTCCCTTGCCTCTTTTTCTGATCAAACCACAGTTGTTATTTTAAGTTCTTCTTCTTAAGTTCTTTAAGTGCCTCTCTCATAGAACCCTAAGTAATCAACCTTGTTGTTTGGTCATCAGGAAAATTTTATATTCTTCATTATTGCACAGAATCCCCACATTCGTTCTAGAGTAACATCAAAATGTAAAGCAGTGCAGCAAACTGATTCTTGACTGGAGCAGGCTCATTCAATCATTTCTTTCAAAATGAATTTTGGTACAACATAGCTAATTATTATGTCTAACATCATCATCATCATCATCATCAACATTTCATTTCTATACCACCAAATAGCTGAAGCCCTCTGGGAAATTTATAAAAGTACATAAAAATAATACGATAAATATGTGAGGGGGTAAAGGAAAAAGAATTCTCACATTTTATGGGAAATATACAAAAGGTTAATATATTAATAGGTTAATTTATCTAAAGTAACCAATTCCTTTAAAATTGTCTACCAAAACATATACATTCCCAATTCGATTGCACTGGAAGTTAATGGCAAGTTACCTGTTTGTTAGCTTTCAGCACTGCTCGGAGGGTTGCTATCTGCTCTCGTTTTGTACTCAGCAGGGACTTCAGTTTCAGTATTTCTTCCATTAAGGCCTCCTTATCCTTATCGAGCATGGGTACTAGTTCGCGGGCTGCTGCACGCTGCCGGGACAGCTGCAGTGACCGATCCACAGCCTTCTGCAAGTGCTTGATTTGGTCCCGTATTATGGCATTCAGGTTGTAAATATTCATTGGCTCTTTGCGAATGTCACTGGTGTCAGAAACTGGGGAAGAAGGAGGAGCTGTGATGACGGGAGAAATGGTGGGTGTCTTTGTTGGACTTTGCTCCTTGTGGACTTCTGTGCTCTCTTTCGAAATCTGTTCAGTTGGTGTCCTGGCTTCCATTGGAGATGCCATTCCTCTCCTGGTCACCCGTGGAGACAGAAGCCCTCTTGGATCGTCAGGTCCCTTTAGGCTCCCACTTCTAGTAACTCTACTTTGCCTGTAATAATCTAGCATAACCCTGTTAGGAGTTTCATTGTTACACAGACACACATGGTGATAGAGCTGAGCAAGCTCCTCACTGAAAGTCACTAGCTCATCCTGCGCTGTGTTGAGAGTATTGTGGTTCTCATTTGCAACACTTGTAATTCTTTGCAACTCCTTTTCCATCTGCACCATTTTTTCATGGCTTTCCTTAGTCGACTTTTCCAGGTTTGTCACCTGTTCATCATATATCTGAATCCTGCTTTCATACTTTGCCTTTTCTTCCGTGTAGTTTTCAACATATTTATTGTATTTTTCTTTTAAGGCCTTTATTTCAGCCTTAAGATCAATCACCTCTGTAACAGCTACTTTGTATTTGCACTCTAGAATCTCTAAGCCATTGATGTCCACTTCGTAGTCATGGGTTTCTTCCCCAGAATCTCGGCCTTTCTCAAATTCTACTTCTTTAAGCTCTTTGTTGCTTTGCAGACCCCTCATAGCATTGACATGCTCTGTGAGCCTGTGGACCCGTTCGTGTTGTTCAGTGAGAGCCCCCTTGGTGTGCTCCAGCTGTGTTTGTGATTCCTGAAGATTAGCCAGGAGAATGGCTTTCTCACGCTCTACCTGCAATAATCCAGAAAAAATATATTATTGCCTCAAAAAGGAATCAAGAGTAGAAAAATCTAAGTGCTCAGTACCCATTGGCACCTAACAGAAATCAAGCTTCGCAAGAGGCACCCAACTCAGGAAGGCTGCCTCCTCTAGGCTGCCTCCTAAGAAATCTCATGGTCCCCTAAGAATGCTTATAGTCTCTTGTTTTGAAAAAATCCTGCATTTTATTTATGGTATTTGTGCACCACCCCCAGGCAATTCATAGCAAGAATTTACACTAAAATGCATTTTAAAATCACAACACATGCACACAAGTAAGAACAGTAAAGCATGCTCCAAGTTCACAACTTTAGAACCTGTTCAGAAATCAGAATGAATGAGTTGTTGTAGCACATAAAATATATAATTTCCTTTCCCATCAGAGCCCACCCACACACACACATGCTCCATTACTAAGAACACAGTGATTTTGTTACCAACATTGCCAACAACTTGTTCCCCAAATCTAGAATACTTTAGCTAACAGGTGCATATCATTCTGAATATTTTAGACATATTTTTAATTAATGACTTAAAATCCATTAGCCTAGTATTATAAAATTAAAATATGCACACACACAAATCAGCAACAGCAAGTCTAAACAGTGCATCTTGTTTGATCAAAGTGAATTAATGTGCTTAGTGACTGCAGTTATCATTTCAAAACCCAAGACATACAAAGGATTTATGGGGATGTTCGGCAGAGATATAATTAGAGGTCGGTTTTGGGCAGTAATCTTTTCTGGACTGTTCTAAATTTGCATTACTGTTGCTATGCTTGAACTACACAGAGATCTTGTTTTGACAAATCATCTACTATAAATCAGTTCATTAAGGAAATTAAAGTGAATACATTTTAGGCAAAAATTGAGCAAAGGCAAAGTGTAGGTCAACTCTATGTACATGGGTACATGTAGGTGCAACATCAAACAGAACAGTTTATAATGTCATTACTATGGCAAGGTTGCAAGTGAGCAAAAAGTTGGTTGGAGGGGCAGAAGGGCTAAGGAGGCATTAGGGAATGTGCCTGAGAGTCTGGATGGCTAAAGAAAGAAAGTAGGGAGAGGCAACACATGAGGAAGCAGTGGGTGGTACAGCCACAAAGGTATTATACAAAGGGGACAACCAAGACAAATTAGGAGGTATGACAATGTGGGACAGGAGACAGAGACACAAGGAAGCAAAGATTTGCCAGAAAAGCGCAGAACATAAAATACTGCCTTTTTCTGTGAGTCTGGCACCATGATGGGAAAAAATTTCCCTCTGTGTATTTTTCAGAATAGGAAAGCTCCTCTTAGGTATTGGCCTAGGAGGAGCAGGAAGGTCAGAGAAGCCAGTGAATGCTGCTAATCTATTTTAATTAGCCAACAGCAAGGATGGGAGAAGAGGAAAAGCCAGGGCATGGTCATTTCAGCTCCCCCTGAGAGCAACACATGAGACTTGGAACTGAGCTCGCTGGGTCTTACTACCCATTTACTATGGCCAGGGCAAGGGGAAAAATTAATTCCTTCAGAGCTATACCCACAGATAGGTGGTCTGACAACTTGAGGCCTCTAGAACTATATTACAATATTTTGGGTGCATTTTGCCACTGAGATTAACTCAATATATATAGTTCTACATGGCCATGTAAAGGCAGAAGTAGCTTCTATTCTCTTTCTTTAAAAAAAGCAGATTGTACCAAGATCTAGCAAGAGCTTTGAATACAGCTAAGTGTGTAACATCATCACCCCTTTTTCTTGTACTCCTCACCACCACTGCCTTCTTTTTTTCTTTTTTCTTTTGGTCTCTAATTCCTAGGACAAATGTCCTAGTAAATATATTAAGAGGAAAGGAAATGTTTTAAATAGATGCCAAACATTTTGTGTTTGGATGGATCTACCAGATTAAGGGTTGGGAACTGTGAAATAATTTTTGGGCAGAGAAAATGAATAAAGAAATGTCTTTGTATTACATAACATGATCAAAAAGAAAACTGTTGAATGTAACCTTGATAGGAAATGCTAGGAGCAGGAATTGCTTAAACATCTAGTCAATGAAAATAAGAATGACTGTGGTTCGATCATCATTACATTCACTGCATGAAGTACCATCACCATATATATAGCATGCAGATATGCCTATAACAAAAGCCCAACAGCTGTTTGCATGGGAAACAAATTTGGAGCATTGTAATAACAGAGCAAGAGCAGCTACTACATTTAACATTTTCTTTGCCTTCCATTTGTCTGGCCTAAATAGTTCCTCAAAGACACACCTCCTCCCATCAAATTCCAAACAAGTATTTGTAGGGTACATGTGCATTTGGAACCCCACAGGAAGAAATCCCCTAGGGACCAGGATTTCATGTTAGGAAAGTAGTAGCCATCCCCTTCCCCATCGCCACTATTTCTCCATCCAAATTTCTCTTCTGAAATTGCTTTTCCTAAAGAACTGCTTTTGTTACATACATGTATTAGATAATAAAGTTCCTTTTTAATGTACAAAGGCAAATCTTACCTGCATCAGTTGCTGCTTCAGTTTTTGCATTTCTGAGATGTTGAGCTCACTGAAGAGATCAGAGACTGGATTTAAAGAATCACCTTTCCTAACCGTGGGAGTCCGAAAGTCACCATTCATTTTCATGTGAGGTCCATGAATGTGTCCATTCATTTTTTCATCATTATTAGGTTCATTCCCATCTTCACCAAACTTTAATCCATCTACTGAGATATTAATATGGTTATTATACATACTATCATTTAGATTGATATATTGGGCAAGTTCCTTCCTCAGGCAGTTCTTTTGCTCCCTCTCATTTTTTAATGTCTCCAAGGCTTCCTCTAGCTGATGTTCAGCAATCTCCTTTAACCGGATGGCATCTTCTAGTTGGCTATTAAGCAATACAGTTTCTTCCTCAAATCGTTTTATTTCATGCTTCAGACCTTCATATTCAACCTGAATTAGATAAGATAGAGAACATTCATAATACTAAAAATTGGATTATAAACAACCTGCCATTTGCTGCCTCTGTTGAACTAAGTTGTCAAAAAAGGAGAGATTATACATACACACAATCAATGGGCGAGGAAAGGGCCAGATATTACTGATATTACTAAAGCAGCCACTAGAAAGGTGCTTAGAACCAAGATTATTGTGTCATTGTTTTAGTCTGACTTCCCTAAAAGGTTTATGCAGTGAAATCTAAATAGGTTTATACCTTTTCCCCACATTCCCTGCAGGTGAAAAAACATTATCAGGAACATTTCATGAAACTCATCTCTCAATAGGAATTCATTGATTTTAAAGTGTGTCATCACATTTGAGAAGGCAGAAAGGAAAATACAAGGGCTCCTGGTGCGTATACGTTCTTTAGTCTAAGACTAAGAGGGTGTAATCCTATGAGTAACACCTACTTCAAACAGAAGCCTTTGAATTCAGAAACTGCCGTGCATTCAATGCCTTGTCAAGCTGCTGCCAACAAAGTTGGAGGAGTGACAACAGTGATTTTGGTCCTCCGTGTTTTACTTTTTCCTCTAGACAGGCCCCTGAGTCAGTCTAGAGAGGGTGCACTAGCACTGATGGAAATGCGGCTGGAAGGGCCATGGCAATCCTTGTGCTCCCTTAACAGACCTCACCAATGCCACTTTTGCCACTTTGGCAAGCAGATGGTACAGTTCTTTCTATGGCAGCTGAGGAATCAGACACCAGATTCCCTTCCTAAGGTCTACAGCCCTGGAGAGGAAAAACCAATGCATTCCATGGTGTCTGGGATGGTTTGACCATGGAATGGCCCTCTTGGAGATATAACCATTTTGTTCTGAAGAGGCAGATAAAACATACATTCATTATACAGACACTCACAGGCAGAAATCCAAATTCAGGAGGTGCTGAGGGAAAAAAGTCTTATAAAAATACACCAGAGCTTTTTAAAAAAATAAAAATAACACTTACTCAAGTAGTTGAGAAGGAAATGATTTAATGAAAATACCCATTAAGGGTCCTTCCAGATAAAACATTTCTTCATACTAATAACCATCAAAAGGCAATGTGCAGCTATTCCATCATTTCCTCTCAGAGAAAAATGAATTTTATATTGAGACAACCAAGGGAGAAGCATTGGGAAAGCACAGAAAGATTAAATGTCCTCATAAAATTCTGAGTTTGAGACAGGCAGCTGCACAATAAAAGTCTCATCTAGATGCAAATTCATACAAATATGAATATATTTTTCAAACAGTTTCTCTATACATTAAGATCAATAAATCCTATTTAGTTCAATAGGGGTTACTTCCAAGTAGACATAAATAGGGCTGTCGTGTAAGTGTGTTTAAAAATAAAAAGACAGAGCAAAACCTAATCATGAGAAGGGACAAATTTGAAAGATTGGACTGAAAGAGATAAATGTTCCCTGGAAAATAAACACTTAAATTATTCAACTTTACCAATATTCCTACATCATGAGAAAGGGCTTGCTCTTTGCTAGCAGCAGAAGGAACAGAAACAATGAAATGAATAATCTCAGAAATTAATCAGCTGCTATAACTAAACATGAAAGTGTATCTTGAAAGTAAGAATACTTTTCTGAGTTACAAGAAAACAAAAAATAGTACAAATGTGCCTTTTCTAAAAAAATATTTATTTAAGAAAGTCAAACACAACCTATATTTACAACCTGCTAATTAGGTTCCTTATAAAGTAGAATTAAATTCGATATATATTTCTTCTAAGTATCACATTGGATCCCAAAAACTATTTTAAGCAAGCCTAAAAGTTCTACCCAGGTTGTATGATTAGAAGTGGGCTGATTAGGGGTCATTTTGAGGACTTGCTTTCCTAAGATGGACCATGGTGCATACATGTTTTTTAATTGCTAATGGCAATTAAATGGCAATTTGTGCAGATAAGCGCTCACAAACCATATGGGTCTAAGCATGATTAGTGTGGGATAGGCTGATTTGCATAAATTGTCTGATTCTGCATAAATCATCCTGGAACCACATGTTTCTCAGGTGCTTATTTGTGCAAATTTCCCTAGAGATTGAAAAATATGCACAAATTGCAGTTAGAAGCTGGCAGGAAATCCACTGAACTCAAACAAGCCCAATTTCCCCTTTTTGGTACTTTGCTCACCTGACCCGACAACACCAGCATTGCTGTCATACTAGTATGAGTCCCCAAATCATTTTGAGCATCGATATATTAAGACAATGATGGAGAATATTATTGTACTATGAGCTTTTCTACATGAGCCTGTTAATAAACTGTTAATTCAATGAATCTAGCTTTGCTTTCCTTGTAGAAAACAAGCACTATACAAGCAGCACTTCCTTTCCTCCTTTTGCAATACCTCACCTCTTGGTCCCCTTCATGGATCCCTGCCTTGCTGTGGCGAAGGGGCTTACATAGTGCAATGAAGTTATGAGCTATGCCATGCAGGGGCACCCAAGATGGTCAGGTCATAGCAGAGAGCTCTGACAAAAGGTGATCCACTGGAGAAGGAAATGGCAATCCACTCCAGTATCCATGCCATGAAAACCCCATGGACAGTATCAACAGGCAAAGAGATATGACACTGGAAGATGAGCCCTTCAGGTCAAAGTAAATAAAATAAATATAAATATAAATATAAATAAAATAAAATAGGTGTCTGAGGAACAGCAGAGGGCTAGTATTAGTAGTGCCAGAAAGAATGAATGAAGCGACTAGATCAAAGCCAAAAGGACACTCAGTTTTGGATGTATCTGGTGGTGAAAGGAGAGTCCGATGCTGTAAGGAACAGTACTGCATAGGAACATGGAATCTATGCATCTATGCATCTAGTAAGATCTATCCATCAGGGCAAGCTGGATGTGGTCAAACATAAGATGACAAGACTGAACAGCAACATCTTGGGAATCAGTGAACTAAAATGGACAGGAATGAGAGGACTTAATTCTGATGACCATCAGGTATACTACTGTGGGCAAGAATCCCTCAGAAGAAATGGAGTAGCCTTCATGGTCAATAAGAGTAGGAAAAGCAGTACTGGGATACAATCTCCAAAATGATAGAATGATCTCAGTTTGAATCCAAGGCAAACCATTCAACATCAAAATAGTCCAAGTCTATGCTCCAAGCACTGGTACTAAAGAGGATGAAGGTGACTGGTTCTATGAAGGCCTACAGTACCTTCTAGAATTAACACCCAAAAATGATGTCCTTATCATCATGGCGGATTAGAATGCTAAAGAAGGAAGTGAAAAGATAACCGGAATAACAGGCAAATTTGGCCTTGGAGTACAAATTTAAGCAGGGCAAAGGCTGGCAGAATTTTCCCAAGAGTACACGCTGGCCACAGCAAACACTCTTTTCCAACAACACAAGAAACGACCCTACACATGGACCTCACCAGATGGTCAACAAAGAACTCAGATTGACTATGTGCTCTGCATCCAAAGATGGAAAAGCTCAAACCAGTCAGTAAAAATAAGACCAGGGAGCTGACTATGGGTCAGATCGTGAGCTTCTTGCCCTATTTTCAATGGAACTTTACCCCTTTACTAGGGTTAGGAATGTGCACCAGGGTAGGGTTAGCGTTTGAAAAACAAGGTGTCCTGGCATGGTTTTGATGGTTGGAATGTGTTTAGAATGGGCAGAAATGATGAGCTGTGCAGAAAACGCTACTCAAGGAAGGCTTTTCCAAAATAGCCCTCTTTTCAATGGAACTTTACCCCTTTATTAGGGTTAGGGGTGTGCACCAGGGTAGGGTTAGGGTTACAAAAATAAGGTGTCCTGGCATGGTTTTGATGGTTGGAATGTGTTAGAAATGGGCAGAAATGATGAGCTGTGCAGAAAAATGTACACAAGAAGGCTTTTTCAATATCCACCCCTTTTCAATGGAAGTTTACCCCTTTATTAGGGTTAGGGGTGTGCACCAGGGTAGGGTTAGGGTTGAAAAAGGAGGTGTCCTGGCATGGTTTTGATGGTTGGAATGTGTACAGAATGGACAGAAATGATGAGCTGTGCAGAATAAGCTTCTCAAGGAAAGCTTTTTTAAAATTGCTCTGGTTTCACATGCTAGCAATGTTATGTTCAAAATCCTACAAGCTGGGCTCCAGCAGTATTTGGACTGAGAACTACCGGAAATACAGGCAGGATTTCGAAGAGGCAGAGGAACCAGAAATCATATGCTAGATCATGGAGAAAGCTAGGGGGTTCTAGAAAAGCATCTACTTCTGATTTATTGACTATGCTAAATCTTTTGATTGTGTGGATCACAACAAATTGTGGCAAGTTCTTGAAGGGATGGGAGTACCAGACCATCTTATTTGTCTCTTGAGAAACCTATATGCAGGTCAAGAAGCAACAGTGAGCACTGGACACAGAGCCATGATTGGTTCAAAACTGAGAAAGGAGTTCAGCAGGCTGTTTACTGTCGCCCTGCCTATTTAACTTATATGCAGAGCACATCATGAGAAAGGTGGGGCTACATGAATCACAAGCTGGAGTTAAGATGGCTGGGAGAAATATCAACAACCTCAGATATGCAGATAATACCACCCAAATAGCAGAAAGTGAAGAGGAACTAAAGAGCCTCTTGATGCGCATGGAAGAGGAGACCCCAAATTGGCTTGAAACTCAACTAAGAAAACTAAGATCATGGCATCTGGTCCTATCACTTCCTGGCAGATAGATGGGGAAGAAATGGAGGTAGTGACAGATTTTATTTTCCTGGGCTCCAAGATCACCGCAGATGGGGACTGCAGCCAAGAAATTAAAAGACACTTGCTCCTGGGGAGGAAAGCTATGGCAAATCTAGATAGCATACTAAAAAGCAGGGACATCACCCTGCCGACAAAAGTGTGTATAGTCAAGGCTATGGTTTTCCCAGGTGCAATGTATGACTGTGAAAGCTGGACCATAAGGAAGGCTGAGCGCTGAAGAATTGAGGCCTTTGAATTGTGGTGCTGGAGGAGAATCCTTTGAGTCCCTTGGACAGCAAGGTGATCAAACCGGTCAATCCTAGAGGAGATCAACCCTGACTGCTCTTTAGAAGGCCAGATCCTGAAGATGAAACTCAAATACTTTGGCCACCTAATGAGAAGGAAGGACTCCCTGGAGAAGAGCCTAATGCTGGGAACAATAGATGGCAAAAGAAGGAGGAGAAGGCAGGGAATGAGGTGGCTGGATGGAGTCACTGAGGCAGTTGGTGTGAGCTTAGGTGGATTCCCTAAGGTGGTTGGTGGAGGACAGGAAGGCCTGGAGGAATGTTGTCCATGGGGTCGCGATGGGTCGGACACGACTTCGCAACTAACATAACATAAACCTCTTGCTAGCATTGTAGTATAGTGGAATAGTGAAAACACATGAAATCACCCTTCCTTTATTTTGACAATTAGATGATGCATTTTCTCTGCCTTCAAAAACTTGCTGAAAGTGCTGGTTAGATACAGAGGCAAAGTTGAAGGACCATGTTGCCCTCAGAACCTGTAAATAACCATGAGTAGGAAGTGACAACCGCATGCTAAATACAAATTAAAATTTTATCTAAAATATATACTATAAAATAAATATTATAAAATTATATATCCATCTTAAGTTGCTGCTCTAGGAAATCTGTATACAGTGTACATACTAGCTTTCTTCCAAGAATAGCTTTCCTAACCCAGCACTCTACAAACCAATAATTTCTTCCCCTTGCATTTTTAAAGAATTTGCTTAATAATTCAGGAAAGGGTTTGATTGTCCCCGTTAGTCCATTTAATGAACTAACTGAAAATTACTTAATTAAAATAATTAATGGGACTTGCAAGTCATTAGGTTTGCCTAAACTAACTTGCTTAAGTGCCATTAATTTTGATAGGTCTACTCTAAGTAGGATAAACTTGGCCACTACCCAAGGCCTGTAGCCCACAGTGATGCCCAATATTCTCCAATTATATGTATTGTTCTTGGATAATGATGACTTGGATTTAAGGTCAGTTTAGGCCAGTGTTCTGCCACCATCAGATGCCACCCTGAGAAGGTCACAGATAGTAGCCTTTTCAGCCCTAGTAAATGAGGTATCTTCTTTCTTTTTTAAATTTGGAGTTACCAGGAATTGAATCTGGGACCCTCTGCATGTAAATCTATATAGTTGCCCTCTTAAATTGGTAATGAGTCTGTATAATTCTGTGCTCACCTGGTTCTGTTTTAGTGTGGAAACCAATTTTTGCAAAGTAATGTTTTCTTCTTCAAGTTCTGTATAGTCCTGAAGTAGTCTTGCCTCTCTAAATTTGTATTCCTTTATTTCATCTTTCATCCGAATTTTTTGCAGTTCTGCCATTTCATTGCTCTGGAAAGGAAAGACAAAATATATACATAAATATTATTATTCATTTAAAAAAAGAACTAGGACTCATAGTAATCAATTTCAGTTTAGAATAGATACTCAACCAGCTGCACTTTCGTGCCTTCCATTTATTAGTGCATCTTCACAAATAAGTTAATGTGGGAGGAAACAAGGCATGCAGCCTTAAGATTATTTCCCCCCTTAAACTGAAATAACCATTGCCTTTCCTTCCCTGCTGAATTTTAGTCTCACATTACTTTTATTTACTGGATAAAGTCTTGTACCAAATACAGTTACTAAGTGCTCTTCTTTCAGCCTCATCACTTCTCTAAAGGTACAAAGCAGATCAAAGAGTAATGAAGTCTGTACTGTGAAGATAACTGCTAAAATCCCTGAGGGAAGAACACAACTTCCATCTTCCCCTTCTCAAAATAAGTGTAGCTATTTGTGTCTCTAACTAGATGTAAAGGCTTCATATAAAATATTTAACTAAAGAACAGGAAGAAAATAACTTGTGATGTTAGGGAAAGTTAGAATTTATTTATTTTATTACATTTTTATACCACCCCCCCTAGTCCGCATGGTTTTTTGGGCGGTTTACAAATAACACATAAACAATGATACAGTAAGCAATTACAAAACAATAAAAATCAGTCAAACACTAAATGAGTATCTAGGAATAATATGTACATATTCCAAGTAAATCTTATTCCATATTCTGCAGACAAATAGCTACTTATGTCAAGTACAACACTGTCCAGAAAGGAATGGAATTGCTCAAAAGGGGCAAGGAGATAAACTACCTTCCTATGACCAAAAATTACTATTACAGCAGGACCCCTGTATTCATGGGGATCAATTCTAAGCCTCCTGAGGATGCCTGACACCACAGACGATAGCAAACACTATACTATAGACATTACATTTCTTTTTTTCACAGTTTCATTCATTCTTACCTTAGGATACAATTCTTTTCTTCCTGCACGTAAAAAGTGAGAATTTTTACGTGCAGGAAGCACTTTACAGCTTCTCTTTGGCCAAGGTCAACCATGGTTAACTGCAACACAGTAGCTGAGCCAGCAGATGCTGAATACTTATTTATTCAGCATCACTGATGGACATGGAACTGCACAGCGCCTGGATATCATACATGGTGCCTACAGGGACCCATGTTGCGCACAGATACCTGTTTTGGTGCCCACAATGCTTCTGTCCCTCCTTATTTCAATTATACTTCTTCTATATACATAACTGGAAGGCTGGATTGCTGCAAGACAAAGCAACGTCTTCCAGTACATCTTTCAGTTCAAAACAGTTCTGCATTTTAAAGCTCAGGTCCCATCTCTGCCTTGTACTTAAGTTCTTGGGCAAGCGACTTTTTTTTTATTCCCACCTGTTGCTTTCTAGCAAATGAATGTTCCAAATGTGGCAGTCATTTTATGAACAGGCAAGCCCCTTGTGACAGCCATTTTGCAAATGAGTCCACAACACTCTCAAAATTGTAGAAGTGCTTGCTGAGACAAAGAGGTTGGAGGCTTGGAGACACTTGCTTTCCCTATCATATTGATCTTACTAGTTAGCAATTTAATGCAAGTATAAAGCCATTTTCCCATATATACTTTGTATTATATATCCCATTCATATACACTTTTATAAAGGGTGGTGCAGGGAAATGGGACATTTTGGAACTAGGAGTTGGTGACCCTGGGGCGTCGGCAATTGTTTGGAACCAGTGCAACCTCGTTTGGAACCCCTTTCCATTACTTATAATGGAGCAGTGGAGTGGTGCGCAACGAGCGTTCGCTGTAAAAGCTTGTTATAAGAATTGTGATAGTGTGACTGCTGTGCAAAGGGAATTTCGGTGCCATTACCAGTTCGGCCATCATGATTGTGTCCCATCTGCTCATGCGATTATAACATGGATGAGTAATTTCGAAGAAATGGGTTCAGCCTTAAAAAAGAAGTCTCCAGGTGGTGTTTGAAAGGCCTGCACACCAGAGAATTTTGAGGCTGTTTGAGCTGCCTTTGCCATTCGACCACATGCATCATCACTACATTCGGGGCAACAAAGTGTGGAGAGAATACTGCATGAGTTGAAGTTCCATCCCTACAAATTGCAGATTGTGCAGGAACTCAAACCTGCAGCTTCAACAGTTTCAACAGGATGGAGTGTCTTCATAATCTGCTCGACAATCAATGGCAGCTATTCAACAATGGTTAGCAAGGTGTGTCATTTCATGCAACGGTAACATTCCATGGCCTCCGAGATCCCCAGATCTCACTGTCTGTGATTTTTTTTCTGTGGGGACATCTTGAAAGCCAAGTGTACTGCTCACATCCTGCAACCATTGCTGAACTAAAAAGGAGGGCTGAAGAAGAAATCACTGGTATTCTTCTTGACATGTTACATCAAGCAATACAGAATTTCCACAACAGGCTGTCAGAATGTATACAGAGAAATGGACAGCACCTTCATGATGTTATCTTCAAGACATGAAATGAATATTGAATGCATATGGATTACCATCATTAATTGCATATCCTGTACAATACATTTCATCATAAAATGTATTTTGTAATGTGTTTATTCGTGCATTGAACATCAATGGAAAATACTGCATTTCCCTGTGCCACCCTGTATTATTCCACTGTTCTTCTAAGCTTAGGTGCTTTCACTATTTGTCTGAGCAGTAAGGGAAAGGCACCTTCCTTTTTCCCAACTCGATACCTCCTCTTTCCTCCCCCTGCTATTTTGCCTTCCAGATCCTGAGTATCTGCACTTAGGTCCATTATCCATGGGAAATAAGGGCTAAGGAGAGGATTCATGAAAAGGTTTGCATTACAGAGGAATAAAAACAAGTAACTCCATACTCTTCTGTCCAACAGACAGCCACTGTCCTATCAGTACCGTAAGATATAAGGGGCTGATCCATGATGAAGAACTGTGATGAAATGTGTTGTTTTCAAGCAGTACCTGGAATTGCACAATTGACCTGCCTTTCTAGTTTATTATAAACATAACTGAGATAATGTACGTAAGGTGCTATACTGCTTTTCAGAAGAACCTAGAAAGATGTTGTCATTACTTAGACTGTATTTCCTGTTCACTATGATGCTAATTATAAAAAAGTTATTTTATCTTTTTATCCTCATCAATTTTTTCAGGTAAAAATAGAGATGGAAGAAGCAATAGCAAAACATGTGAGGGCTGCAAATTGAAAACAATTGTGTCTACATCCTCTTAAAATACCATAAATTGAGTGCATGCCTCTTTTAGGAGCACCCAATTAGTGATAATTCTGTTGGGGTCCCTGGCGACCAGAAACAAAGGGAAACACAGACTCCAGTCCATAGCCAGAGTACCAAGTAAGAGCTACCTAGAGGTCACATACCCTCTTATCAGTAGAAATGCCAGTGGGATCAGTCTGGTCTGAATTTCAATAGCTTAAATAACCCTGGCATTCTTAAACCAAACTCTCCCTACCATTATTTTTCCCTCTTCTCCCCTTCACTTGTACAATTTCTTAGACTGTACGGCCAAGGACTTACAGACATATATTTGTAAGGACAAGAAGAATGATACAATATAAGGAAGTTGTGTAACATTTAGATCCATCTTTAATCATTATAGTCTGTTTTGTGCTTTCAGGATGGAGTAGGCAATGAGTAAATGGTTCCTTATTATTTCTAAAATAGCAAGTGCAATAATTTGTCTGCATCACTGTTCTTTTTATAATTCTAAATGATGTAATATAAATTAGCTATAGCTGTTCCCAGGGCTTTGTTTCATTTTAAATATTAATACGACATAGATACAAAAATACTTGGTGCAAAACGATTCCTACAAAAGATTCTTAAATCTTGTCACATAATACGGTAAGTAATTGCTGGACATATTCCGATCACGGAGAATGCCTGCATTGTGTTGGAAGAGATTCAAAAGCAAGCACCACTGCAGTCTAGATATCCTCGTGTGTTGTTTTTAAAAGCAAGCAGCTTGCATTCATTGGATAAGATGCTTCCTGTTTCTCCAGGGCTCAAATAAAACCATTTGATGGATTCATCTTCATTTTAACCCTTACACCAACTGACATCAAGCAATAGGATTGTGAAACACGGGATCTGTTTTATCTTTTTTTACAGCGGAGATGGACAAAGAACAGACATGAGAAATAGTGAGCAGGTGTTTGTTTATCACAAGGTTGCATTCCAAGCATACTCTATGTTAATTAGATGATACAACAGGCATCATTATCTCCCATCAGCCATAGCATGAACTTGCCCAATGACCATAGTATGACCTTGTCTATTAGTTGATTGATTAATAACAATAGTAGAACTAGCTTATGATGAGCAAATTACCAAGCAGTACTTAAACCAGCAGACTTGGGACGGTTCAAGATCAGTGACTTCTACTAAATACTTAGATTCTAGATTCCTATCAGTTTTTTAACTGAGCTGAAGTCAGCTGTAGGATACTGCAATTTGACCTAGTTAAATTATTTTTTTTTATTATTATTATTATTATAACATTTCTATGCCGCCCCTTGCCGAAACCTCGGGGCGGCTTACAACATGATAAAATACATTGAAATACAATAGTACATAATAAAATTACCATTAAATATAACAATACAAAAAATACATTGATTTACAAATACAAAGTTAAAATTATCAGTATAAAATAAAAATATAGGAGGAGAAAGAGAAGGAAGAAGTTGCCCAGGCCAGATCATATGTTTTAACAATTGAAATGATGTTTAAATAAAAAGGTCTTTACCTGGCGCCGAAAAACCAGTAACGACGGTGCCAGGCGGACCTCTTTGGGGAGTCCTCTTTGCTTAGAAAATTATGCTTAGAAACAGGCTGCATTAGCAACTACAAAGCATTAACATTTTCCCTTTGCATGACAATGTCTTGCCTTGGCCCATAGATTATGCCTACCAAGAGGTTCCTTGATACAAGGAGACTTCAGAGGGTTTAAAATAGAGCAGTGAGGCTGC